CACACACACACACACACACACACACACACACACACACACACACACACGTGGGGTTCATAGACGAAGCAGCAACAAATCAGATTGCAATCTCTGGCTTGTACACATTTTGTTTACTATACACAAGCCGGCAGCATTGCCCTTTGCAGTGTGAACAAAGCACATGAAGCCATGAGGTAAATGGTGAACATCTGCATTATATTCGCAGTGTTATTCCTTTGTGATATTAAGAAAATAACCTGGTCACTATCACAAAATACTTCTCTTGTAATCACAAGAAAAAATCTGTTTAGTTTAATCTGTCTTTAACATTTTGGTTCTGTTTTTTTAGTGGCTGTGGTCATCTCATTAAGTCCTGCTGCGATCAGCTGTAACTAGAAACCAAACATTCCCGTGTGTTTTACTGGCTGTGTTTTTATGTATGTTGTCACGATCAGGCTTTGCCTTGTGTGTCTTTGTTTAGCGTCACTCCCTCAGCCTAACTCCCTTCATCTGCTGCTAATCAAGCACTCTACCTGTCAGCCACTCCATCAGCACCAGTCTAACTCTCCTAACCTGTTCAAGTCACCTTATAAACCCCTGTCTCTCAGTCACTCACTGCCAGGTCATTGTTTGTGTTGTACCCGCCTCTCTGTCTTGTCCTGCTCCCGGTTTCCCACGCCTGCCTGTCCTGCTGGATTTGCCCTCTTGTCTCGTCCTTGGATTCCCTGTGTGTTCGTATTTCATTAAAAACCCTTTTTCTCACTGCATCTGACTGAGCTTGAGTCCTCATCATGCCCCGTGACTAATCACTAATGTGATTAATTCTCCTTTCATAGTCAACTCTGATGAAGACTTAAAACACCAAAATGAAAACAATTCAAATGAAGTTGAGTACAGTACACATTATATGTATTTCTACTAACACATTTATATATAACTCTAACTAATTTGCAATAGCAAAATGTGTTTTGAAGGAAATGCAATGCCACCCAGATTATGTTCCCTATTAACATCATGAGATGTTGTTCAGTTAATGAATCTAGTTGCAAACATGTTGAGATGGTTATGTTTTGCAACTCGCACGTTATGTGGTTTAGGGGAAAGATTGTACCTCGGTTTAATAATGAAAAATCCAGTCTTTTCTTGAGGTGCGATTTTCAATACTAAATTTAAATTTGTCTAATACTTTGGTTTATGACCCAGGACTTCTTGGAAAGTACTGTTACTGAGTTTATTATACAGGTGAAACAAGTCAATGTCTTTATGACCAAATGTGGAGTTTAAATACACTGTAATACAATGTAACTTTGTATCATAACAGTAAAGAAATGCTTTACTTACAGTTATTTGCTGTGCTATTTAGTAGACATACTGTAGATTGTACAGTAGCTTAGTGGAGAGATCGCTGCCAGTAATTTACTGTATTTAAAATTACATTTTTTTTCGCCAAAAATGCCCTAAAATACTCACAAATAGCATAATCAGCAATTTGACTGAGCAATGTTGTATATAAAAAATTGATACTTCCTTAAATCCTATGATCCTCTGAGTGAGACCTTTATCTCTCTGACAGGTGAAATTAACTTTATAGAAAACAGAAATAGTTAGTGGGAAAATAAAATTTTGGGAAATGTGCTCGTTCTCTTTCTTGGGGAAACAGTTAACCTGCTTCTCTCTCAAAAGGTTACAAAATCCAGCTCCCAGCTAATCTAACCCTCACCCGGCTGGAGCTTCATATTTAACGGACAGATATCAATCATCTTGTCTAACTCAGGCAAGAAAGCAAATAAGCATATTTACCAAAATGTCAAACTGTTCCTTTAAGTATGTCAGGGCTTCCTGCTAACTCATAGGAGTTAGCTATGGAATGACTGGTATGTCTAAAAGCTGTGTGTGCAGCATGAAGATGCTCCTAGGTCATGTGTTTATTCAACTGAAGGAATTCACAGCCCATCCCTGGTTTATATTCATTTGTAATAAGCTTCCATTAAAGGCACTTGTTTACTGTGATGTACTCACGGGCCAAATGCTAGCAGCGTTATGACTCCCAGATTATATCAATGCCTCTGACTGCTACCTATTTCCATTAATGGTCTATGTGTATGTCAATGTGTGTGTGTGTGCGGCAAGCTGAAATACATACCAAATTTAAAAACAAAGGCACATCACCTGTCAAATTAACTTTTATTATCTCCAAATCAAAACAATGTCACACTTGTTCCTCTGTACACAGACAGTTGTGTCTATTCACATGCATTGTATATGTTCTAATGATGCAAATACATCCGAACCTGTCTGAAAGTTTAATACTCATTCTCTTCAGCGTCGGGGTACAGTATGTAACCGGTAAAGATATTGTACTGCAGGTGTCCGCAGAGCTTCCTCCCGGACATCAGCTCAGTGTAGACCTGATCGCCTCGCTGCAGCTTCAGCACCAACACCTGAAAGAATAGACAGCGAACATGTCACGTTTCATGGAGCCATTAAAGTCGACGCTACAATGGGACCGTGCTTTTGCCATCAGGGATCCCTCGGCCGAGGAACGAGATGAGGCTCGCAGAATCGGCAATATCTTTTAAACCACTTTTTATTGCTTTTATTTTATGTATTTACTGTATCGATTGGTTTTATCGTTTCATATATTGTGCTGTTTTATCAGTGTTTTAATTTTACCTCAGTTTGTCTTGCTTTTGTTTTGCTTTGTCTGTCAAAACTCTGTTTTTAAAGGAGCTATATAAATACGTAAAGTATTTATTTCCCAGCAACTTACAATTTGATTGGTACATTTTAATATGTGATGACCATTCTTTTTACTTTGCTCTTAAACAGTCAGATTTTTTCGTATCTTACTTGATTGGCGGTGTCTTCAAAGTCTTCTCGGTTGTTCTCCCAGACGCTGACCGCCACCACTCCGTTCTTCATGAGCTGGACCTACAGATACGACAAAACACAAAAAATTAAGACTTGCGGTTGCCGGTAAACCAGCAGAATTTGTTCAGAAAGATTTGTGAAGCCTATCTGAGTTTACTTTATAGTAGAGGAGCCCATTCCTCCACACATTTGAGTAGACTGTGAAGGAGAAGACATAAACACCAGCACAAGGAGCAGTGAAGACACCTGGAGAGGGAGGGGAGGAGTTAGTAGAAAATAAAAATGGTAAAGCTTTCATAAATCATGTGTGTGTGTGTGTGTGTGTTTCCTACCCAATGAAGGATGATATCCATTCGCATCATTAAGACTGACGTTGGCGTAGGGGATCGGCACATTGGTATTGAAAGGACCAAAGCAAAGATTAGTGCCAGCACTTAGAGCCATGGTGGCTTTGAAGGCAATCTGTCTGTAATCTGAGAGTAAGAGAGAGATTTATTTGCACTGTACATAAAAAGTCCCCAAAAAAAAGATTTGTGAACATTCTAAATGTGTATCGCTGCATGCGTTGGTCCAAATCAGTGTACGCATGCTCACCTGTGAGCTTTTTCACTTTGTATTTCAGCGAGATGATATCGTGCCACAAGTATTCAATCCTCTCGTATGTATCCTCCTCTAATTTGAACATTTGATCAGCTACACAGCAGCAGCCACGCTGGTGCTGGAAAGCACAGTTGCAGTCCCATGTGACACACGGCCACTTCCTTTCCCCTTTCCATTCGACTGGATGGAGGAAGTGGCGAGAAAGGGAAAGTGAGACGTGAGAGACTTATTTCACATTCAGCATTCACGACAGACGTACAGGTGACAGATAATATGACTGTGTGGAATAGTGCTGGATGAAAAGGAATGAAATGTGTTGGCTTACGTGCTGCCTGTTTCAGCCCCTCAATGCCGGCGGACGGGAACTCCCCACGACCGCAGAGGAACTGCGACCCCAACAGAAACACAAGTGGTAATACAACCATCTGGAAAAAAAGAAGAAGAAAAAAGTTTTCAGTATCCAGTCATGGGTTAATATGCACCCAAACCAGAGAGGATAACTGCTCAGAGCAGTGTCACAAGGTGAGTTACATTTGACTTTAAAAAACAATCTCTTACAGTTTCTGTTCAGGAAATGTGACTTTGAGTAGTCCAACAAGTGGTTTCAGAAACATGTATAGTACAGAACTCTACTCAGACTTTATCCACTTTTAGCCCAATTTGCACTTTATGATTTGGTGTCCAATATACAAATAATTGAGAACAGCCATTTCCACTAAACAACACTGTAAGCACGGGTTTAATGATCTGCAGGCCTCTGGTTTAACAGCATTTCACAGATTTTATTGTGTAAGAACCTTCTTCACGTTGAAATACTTCCTTTAAATGCCGATTGAATGTTTACGTAACCGAGACTTTCACTTTCCGAGCGAAATTATCCTGGTTTTAATCTACATGTATGTACAGACAACGTTTAAACTACAAACCATCATATCAATACTTACTTGGAAACTGAGATAAATCTGCTCATAATCAGCCAAACAGGGCAATGTTAGCTATCTGCCCCTCGTTAAACAACATGGCACCAAGTTAACTCGTGGCCTTTAAAGAAATTCAAACATCCAGCATCTAGTGGTTGTACATCTCTTCACAAAGGCTTAAATTATCACATCTAATAATCAATGTTATAAAGGTAGACTACTCCAAAAGTGACAGGAAGTTCAGATAACACAACTGACTTTATTTAATCCAGGTGCTTACAATAATCCATTGATTTGTTTAGAGGTATTTCATCTAACAATTACTCTTTACACTTCAAACCCAACCTGTTTTTGTGGCACAAAACCTCATCGCTATACCCAATGATTAGCGGAAATATTTCAGTTAATTATTGGGTCTAATGATGGTGATTGACAGCCAGGGAGACCAATTAGTTGTTGTTTTTTAAACTGTATAATTTGAAACATAAACTTACTGTTTTTTGTTCCTCTCGCTCCTCGGTCTGAACGATTACGTCAAGTTCTTGTGAGTTCGTCAAACTGAGAGTACGACTTTTGAGCAGGGGATGGTTTTAGCTTCCTATTGATGCACTTCAGGCGATGTCCTCCCCTTTAGGAGGTAAATGATGCCTCCTCACATGTACACACGCACACACACACACACACACACACACACACACACACACACACACACACACACACACACACACACACACACACAAAGGTTTCACAACCAAACACTATCACTCCAATTCCTACCACAGAGAAGGGGCCACGTAATACAGTCCACTAAATGTTTTAGAACAAGAATTGATCTAGTTGCACTGTTGTATGGACGATAACAGCCGTTATTAGGACAGCAGTGTCTGATTTCCATTGTCCGAGAGGACAGCACCTGCCCAGAAATGTAATTTTGGAGAGCTTTGTTGTGAGGATATAATGGACCACAGACATGAAGACAAAAGAAGATGGCGGGAAAGTGTGATCAGTTCATGGCCTAGATCTGGGAACAAAATACGGCGTCACCCAGTTCTCATGCTGAGAAAGAAGGAACAGAGTAGTGCTGTTTGTTTCCATGTTTACTGTGAGAGTTTTTTAAATGTCCGTCCTGTAAAAGCTTTCTTGCCATGTTATCTAGATGTCATCTATCCATTTGAGGAGGAGAGAAGGTTATATCAAACCAAGTCTCTCTCACCCTGACCTGGAAAAAGTCATTCATGCATTCATCTTTTCAAGACTTGATTACTGTACCTCTCTTCTCTCTGGCATCAACGTGAAAGTCACTCTCTCGCCTGAAAGTAGTTCAGACCTCAGCAGCTCGGCTTCTCACTGGTTTTAACAGACGGCATCACATCACCCCAATCCTGACTTCTCTTCACTGGCTCCCAGTTCGTTTTAGAATTGATTTTAAGATTTTACTGATGACTTTTAAAGCAGGTTTATGGTCTGGCCATAAAATATATAGAGGAAATGTTGACCCCCCTATGAGGTGGGGCCCTTCTGGCTGTTACAAAGTCGAGGCTGAAAACTAAAATCACTTCTTAAAACCCATTTTCACAGACTGGCTTTTATGTGATGTCGTCACTTCACTGCTGTATTTTTATTTGATGATTTGACTAAATCATTTTACTTTATTTATCACCTCAAGATAGCACACCATTGATGATATGCAATTTTGGATTTAGATTTCATGCTTAAAAGAAAACCTGCAATTCTCAAAATGATGTTGCAGGTTATTCCACAAACACCCAAATGACCCAACTTTCCCTAATGAATTCAAGTAAGAGTAACTTATATGAACTATATTAAATTAGCGACCGTTACTATCATCCAAAGTAAGCTAGTATCACTTAGCTTCAATAGTAACTATATTCAATAGATAAACTATGCTTCCATCACATTACCTCATATCGTTGGCTTGTTTGTTATATTTTCAAATAATAGCATAAATAAAATAGCATGTAAAAATATAGTAAAAGTAACACATTTTGAATATTTTTTATATAATAATATTCTTATTTTTCTGAATATTTCCCTGAAGAATGGACAACCCGTTTCTCATTCAGAATCATTTAGCCGTCTAATTTTAGTTTTTTCCCTCACTGCTAAGGATTACTACAGCACGTTGTAGTGCCACGTCAATCTTCTTTTTTATTTACTAACGGCTAACGGAACGTTTAGCACACACAATGCTGTACTTTTATTACTTGCACGCTGTGTTTGGCTAACGGCTAACAGCTAACAGAACTTCCTGTTCCTCGCTGCCACTCAGCTTGGTGAGTTTAATTTTGCTTTTGGCAAGGATGTACAACGTTTCTTCTACGACGACTTGGAGACGATTGCCTCCATACATTGCCGCTTGTTTTTGAGTTTGAATGACGTGTGTTTTACGACGCCTTATAGGCTATTGGTGTCTCGAGGGGGTCTTGGTCAACTTTGGGTTGTATTCATTCAATCACACAATACACAACACAATCTCACGGCAGTTCGTGAAATAGTCATAAAATGTACAGGGACACGAAATGTCTGTTTTTGTTATGTTTTTCAGAACGACATTACGTTAAAAACTTGCGTTAGGTTACAGCAACAAAACCACCAGTTGGCCTTAAAATAACTATAGCAGTAGGGTTTAGGCAACAAAACCAACAGTTATATTTTAGCAACAAAACCACGAACAGTTAGGTTTAACAAACAAAACCTGGCAAATCTACAGAACTAATTTTAATATCACTTCCTGTTGTTCTGTGAGCAACGTTCACAGAGTTACAAAACTCTGAATAAATTGTGTTAATTAAATGTAATTGTTTACGTGTTATCAACTCAAATCCAAAGTTCATATCAAAAATAGGTCAGTTCCATTCAAAATGGTAAAACTACGGGCTATCAAGAATAGACAGCAACGCAAGGGTAATATTTCAATACTTTAATTTTGTCAACAACTTCTTCCATGTAGACACAACACATTAAGTCATCTTCAGTTGAAACAAAGTACAACTATAATGCCATCCTGCTTTGTTTAAGATCCTAATGTGTTTTCTTGTGATTTTGCAGGCTATAAGTGAATTTCTTAAAATCATTACAAGACATCATTTCAGCAAGAGAACACTCAAATTTGCATACATTGAATCCAGCTATGGTGGATTTAAAAAAAGATGTCTTCTAGCAGACTCTAACCTTGTTAGTATGAAAAGAGTTGAAACACAAAAACACTGCACCATGCGTCCCTAATTTATTCAGTAGGATAAAGGAGGAAGGCACTGAAAGTGTTATACTGGCTGCTGTTGTCGCATATGAAACATCCACCGGGCAGCTGGACGGCCACCATGTCCCCAGCCTTCAGGTGAAGGGCCACGACTGTAGTGGCACTGTCCTCTTGGTCTAGCTTATTTTCTTCTCTGGGTCCTGCCACCAACTGGTTGTTAACCAGCAGATTGGCACAGGCGGCTATTCTCCGACCAGGAGCACCAGCGTCACTGTAGACGGTGAGGGCGAGGCTGTAGACGCCAGAGTGTGGAACGGTGAAGACACCGGTATCCGCGCTGTAGCCATTACCCAGGTTGATGAAGACGCGTTTGTAGGACAGGAGCTTGTCGAACTTGTAGGAGACATGGCATATATCTGTGTCATCGATTTGAGTGGCAGAGAAGGCGCTGCGGCTGGCTGGAGATGCAACAAGGGGAGACAACAGGTTAGAATTTTAAAAAAACAAACAGAAGTAGATCTCATAAGAAGAAAAGTCTTCTTTAAGATGCTTTTATAATTGCACGCGTATCTGCTTTGTGTAACTCACCTTTCACTTTGTCCAGACTGTGCTTTGTTTGTCTGTATTCCTTCTCCAACGTATTCAAAGTCGTGGTAAAGTATGTCGTCAGCCTGTCCATCTCTTTCAACATCATACAGCACCCACAGGAACCCGAGTCCGTAACACACTCTAAAACACAAAACACACACACACACACACACACACACACACACACACACACACACACACGTGAATACACTTGCAGATGAGAATAAATGCAGACACGCTGATTATGCGCCAACAATTCCTCACCACTGCCTGGTCCGAGGGTCGGAAGCGGTCCCCTGGAGTCCCAAGGAAATGGAAGGGCCGCATGCAGCAGACAGATCAGCACAACAGCTGGGGGGTAAAAGCAAAGGCATGTAGCATTAAACCCAGAAGGAGCTTTACACTAGTTGCCTGCTACTGTATTGTTTGTTGTATTTGTTGTATGTCTGAACCAGTGCTACCTCTGTAAACGTACTAAGTCTCACCTCTCATGCTGACGGCTTCAGAAGGGTGGAAGGTGTGATAAAGTGATCAGTAGAGGAAGTATCACAGGTATATATATTTTTTCTCAGAGCCCCTCCCTTCTTAGGTTTTATTCATCCTCTTCTATTATCGCTCCTTCTCGCTTTTTTGTTTTTGCCCTATTTTCCTTTATAACCGAATAACTGAGGATGTTTTCCTCACCAAGTGCTGTCACTTCCCCAAAACATCCCACACACCCTCCAGGGCTTTGTGTGTGCAGGTATCACCTATATCGTCTGTAGAGAGCGGTGTCAGTGCATGTAGTTTAGAGAGCTGCGTGATAGTTTTTTATATGCTTTGCTGATCTTAACGTGTAGAAAAATCACTAAATAGCTCAAATAAGTAAAATAATTGTCTCAGGCAGTTGCACTGTTTTCCTGTGTAGATATACTACTTCATCTAATGTTAGGCTATATACTGGTAGAAGAGGAAGAAGAAGAATTAATAATCTGCGGGTACCAGATCACAGAGAGTGATGTTAAAAAATGCTCTATTAAATATATAAATATATAGATGTGTTATAGATCACATCTCATTTCTCCCTGACACTATACAGATTAAGACCCTAAAAAAGGCCACAATAAGCTTGAGTTAAAGTTGGACTATAGTCTTTAAATACATATTTTAACAATATGTATTTTACTGTACTTAAACATGTTTGTTACGACTCGTATTTCATCTGTCTGGATGATATGGCATCCGTTTATATCATCACTTTCTATGAGTGAGGGTGATCAAACTGTAACTAAAATGTGTCCTAATGTGGTTAAAAATGACTTCAATCATAAAACACATCCTAAAATGTTATTTAGTTTTGTAAACCAGTACACAGTATCTTAATTATTATTATTTTGCCAGCAACAACATCCCCAATGTGAGCATTACTTTTATTTCTTAAGTGGAGATTGAAACAAATTGACTCAGAATGCCAACTAGTTTGTTTGAAAGTTTTGTTTATTTCACTGGTCAGTCTCAGAAACATTGATTTTCATTCAAATTTCGAGCACAATTTCCATCACATCATCCCAGTGGTGTCAAAGATCAGCTCTTACATTGAAAAATAACTTGATTTCAGGAAGAGTATCGAGCCGTGATGGAACAAAACAAACAAAATATCAGATAAAGATCAATGGCTACAAATCAGTGTAATCTAACAGACTCGTCAGTATAGGGCAAGAGTTGGTACAAAGTCCAGAACAGCTACGCTTTGCAAACTTAGCAGAGATAAAGCAGGAAACCCGTGAAAGTGTTTAAGTAGCTTTGACGGTCACAGATGAGAGATCCTTTGGGCAGGTTCACCGCCACCTTGTCCCCAGCCTTCAGTTTCACCGACACAACAGCAGTGGCACTGTCATCGAGGTCCTGGCTTTTTTTCTCCTGGAGTGTAGCCACCACCTGGCTGTTAACTGCCAGGTGGGCTCCGGGGCCAATGACGCCATCGGAGTAGATGGTGACGGCGAGGCTGTAGACCCCAGAGCGGGGGGCGGTGAAGGTACCGGTCTGCGCGTCATAGCCATCGCCCAGGTTAAGGAAGACGTGCTGGTATCTGATGACCCTGTCGTCGGTGAACGGGCCGAAGCAGTCGTCATTTTTGTTATCGTGGAGAGAGACGGAGAAGGCACTGCGGCTGGCTGTAAAAAAAAAAGCTGATCAGTTTTGTTCTTTTAATGTAATATAATTCCGATGAACTGTCGACCCCGGTTTGTGTTTCTCACCTCTCATATCATCGAGGGCCATCTTTGAGTTCATCAGATTCTTGCTCAGTTCTTCTACGGTCATGTTGAAGAACGACTCCATCCTCTGCATCATCTTCTGCATCAGACAACAGCCACACGAGGCCTGATCCGCACGACACACTGCATGCACACACACACACACACACATATGAATATGACAGATGAGAGTACATGCAGATTCACTGAGTGTATCGACAGAAGGGATAGACTTAGTATTTCGTTAACAATCTCTCACCATAGGGTTGTTCTTGTATTCTTGTGGATGCGCCTTCATCCCAGCTAAACGGATTCTTCAAAAAAGCTCCATGCAGCAGACACAACAACACAATAGCTGGCGGGGGAAAGAGCAAAAGCACACATACCAGTAGACCTGGATAAAAACTTTTGCATTAGTTGCTATTGCTTTTTTCGAGCAATAAGCCAACTCTGGACTGCTTCTGTTTCTTTTGTTTTTTCTTATTTTGAGGTGTAAGCTTCAATGAAACACCTTTCACAAGTTGCAACTTATATCTCGTCTCACCTCGCATGTCGATACTGGTAAATGGCGACGGCTTCAGAAGGATGGAAGGTGTGTAGACTGCTAGTGAGACAAAAGTCGTGGATATATATTTTTCTTGGAGCCCCTCCCTTGTTACCTCTCTTTTTAATTCCTCCTCTTTTGGCGTCGCCCCTCCTTGTTTTTGTTGTTGTCTGCCCTATTTGCCTTTAGAAGTTTATAACTGGAGATGCATTTCTTCATCACTAGAGGCTCTCATTTTCTAAAAAACGCACACACACCTGCAGGGCTTTGTTGTTGATAACATCCAGGTATCAACTATCACCTGAGATGAGGTCTGTACTGTATGTGGAGTTCAGTTTTCTCATCATCAGCATAAAGGCAGTCCACAAACCAATGGGTGACGACTGTGGTAAAGGCCATTCACGTTCTTGAGTCGGCCACAGTAGTTGTCCAACAAAATCCTACACGCTGCACCTTTAGGAAATCCTAACTATAACTGTAAATTTGATTCTTCTTATCCTGTCATGTCTTATCTTCTTCTCTGGGTCCTTCCACCAACTGGCCGTTAACCAGCAGACCGGTACAGGCGGTCAAGCTGTTACAAGTGGAACCAGCGTTACTGTAGACGGTGAGTGTGGAACAGTGAAGACACCGGTATCCACGCTGTAGTCATTAGCCAGGTTGATGAAGACGTGTTGGTAGGTGATGAGCTTGTCGGAGGTAAAGGGGCCAAAACAGTTAATATGTTTGTTATCGGTTTGAGCGGCAGAGAACGCACTGCGGCTGGCTGGAGGTGCAGAAGGGGGAAGAGAAAAACATAAAGCTATACAGGATTGAGTGTGTGGGAGCTGATGTTTTGATGACTTCCATTCTCTTCCAGTTTGTGTCACACGTGTCTCACCTCTGACATTGTTCAGGATGCTCTTTGTTTCTGTCAGTTCCTTCTCCAGCTCACCGAGACTCATGCTAAAGAACATCTTTATCCTGTGGATCATCTGCTGCATCACACAGCAGCCGCACGACGTCTGGTCCGTAATACACACTGAACACAGAAACACAGACGGGTGCGGGTGAGTGTGTGCAGACACATTGGCTACGTCCCCTTGAAAAAAAATCTCTCAACGTTTTCCGCGGTGGGATTGACGCCTGCATTTTCCGCCTTTTCTCCAGGACTAATCCAGGAATAATCAGCAACCTGGGCCTTCACAAACAAACACACACACACACACACACACACACACACACACACACACACACACACACACCCTCCAGGGCTTTGTGCTGTAGATGTAGGTCAAGTATCATTTATCCTCCGAGGCCAGTTGTCCGAGCGTTCCCATCAGCACGCAAAGAAATAGATTTCCTCTGTGATGCAATGTTGTTTTGTGCATCAGACATAAAGTTCAGTTTGCTGCGCCGAAAATACAGTGAAGTTTTCTTCATGAAAAGGTTTTCAAAAGGCATGACAGGACAGCTGAGTTCGATTTTTGCATCCCTAAAATCAGAGTTTCAATGTCCTCCTGAAAATAGTATTGAATTACTTGAGTTTGCTGGCAAAAAGCAAGGCCATGCTCATGAGTGTTCAAGAGAGAGAAGACATTAACAAATGCTTTTCCTCTAGCAAAATAAATCCTCGTTTGAACATAAATCAGGACTCTGCACTGTAGGTTAATAAATAACAATCGTAGCTGTGTCTAGATAAAGGAATGGGTGGACAAAAGACCAATGAAGGTCAAATAGTTGTTGGCAAATCCACGAGGGACTAGTGAAGATACTACAGATAACTTAAGAATGGAAGGGGAGCTTAGAGTGTCCAGGTCACCAAAGTGTGGGGATCAAATCACTTTAGTCACAGAAGAAGCCATCTTTGTTGCTCTATATAGGCCACTATTCACTACTCAACCATCAACAATGCTTCAAGTTAACCTTCATCCCAAAATAGTATGTTTAAAAAAAAGATATATGGATAAAATGTGTGTGTTCTTGCTCTTTTATTCACTTATAAAGATATTTCTAGAAAATGTACATCAGTACAATAAAAGCCGGTGCAGAAAGAATAACATGAATACCAGACATCTTTGTTTCTTGTCTAGAAGGATCTGCACAGCACATTTACTTCCTTATTAAAAAGTGTCACATGCTTCCAACCGAACAAGCAAGTTATATATAAAAAAAGCAAAAAAAAAACATCATTCATATGCAACTCAATCCAATTGGCAAACAGTCACTGTAGATCCTACTCCTGCACAGAACCTGAACCCTGGGAACAGTGGGGCAGTAAACTGGCTCTGGTGCTGGTGGATGAGAGCCGCCTGGTTCTGGGCGATGCGGTAAAAAGCCAGAATCCCTGTGTGCTGGTCCAGATAGATGCCGATCCGCCGGGCCTTAGACGAGCCCAGTAGTTTCTCCTGGCCGTCGTGCCAGAAGGAGAAGCCGGTCCCGGACCAGTACAAGCTCCAAGACTGAGCGTTGTGGCCCAGACGGCTGTTGTCCTCAGAACCTTTACGTTCCATCTCCTTGTAGGCCACGCCGATGCTGAACTGCAGGACCAAGAGGAAACGTGATTAGGAAAAGAAGAATATCCAGGGTGGTGCTTCGGGCCAACGTCATAATGCTAACAATACTAGCATGTTGATGTTTAGCAGGTAGTGTTTATAGTTTGTTAGCATGCTAACAGAATACTCAACACAGTATACAGCATAGCTGAGGCTGAAGGAAAAGTCATTCGTTTTGCAGGTATTTAGTCAAATAGTACTTTTAGTGTTGGACAAATATGAATTTTGAAAGGATTAATAAATGTTAAGGGGTCTCTTAATTTGTCACAATTCATCCAAAGAGGGGGCATGTTTGTGTGAAACAAAATTTAAAGTTACATTTGTTGAGACATTCCAATCAAAACCACAAATATGAACCAGGAGGAAAAGTCGGAGGATCGCCTCATTAGGATTCATCGTTTTAGGACCATGAATGTCTATATTTCAGATATCAGTCTGGACTTAAGTGTGTGACGGACCGACCAACATTGCGATCAATAAAAACAAGTTGCTAGTGACCTGGGAGTGCATATCAGTAGTTATTTTTGAATATTCAAAACAGTTACAAAATATGCTGTTTAGTATGTTAGTGAGTACATTACATCACGACCTGCCTTATTGTAAACCTCTTGCAAGATAATGCAACATTTTGGCATGTTTGAGGATTTTTTTTGTTGATTACATGATTTTTGTATTTTCTCATAATGTCTACTGAGGTGAGATTCCTCCTATGAGCCCTGAATTTTTTTTATATCACCTGCAGTCGTTTCTTTTGTTGCTGTTTCTGCTGCTTTGTTTTATTGTGCAAACAAATAAACCAAATATTGCATTGTAAACATGCGCATAGCTGAAACCACCCATGGATCTACCTTCTTGCCGGTCCACTCCACCTCCCAGTAGTAAGGGTTCCCTGCCAGGGCCTCCCTGCAGAGAACCTGTCTCCAGAAGAGGAAGCGCTCAGGGTGGTCTGGTAGGTTCAGGTTCTCAGCCCGCATCCTGGCTTTACGACCACCGTCTGACAGCTGCACGTGGCGATACACCGTGTTGGCGTCCATGGTGGGTTCGAAGCGATCTGGGAGGGAGAGGATGGATTTTAGTGAAGAATCTGCTCCTCCCTGAAGGCTTTGACACAGCGTTCTTTATTCTGTTTCGTTTGGTGGACTCACATTTCAGCATTTCTTCTCTCGTCTTCGGTTCCAGGTTGAAATGTTCCACTGTTGTCACAGGAGGTGCTTAGAGGGGAAAAAACAACATAAATCAATATATCAAACCAGGGATCATAAAGCGTCTTCACTTCTGCAAGGGGAAGTAGTTGATTGATGTGTACAAGCAGCTTCTGATGTATTTGTGTTTACTTTGAGGTTGACGAGGAGGGATGGGTGGATGTGGAGCTGAAGCTTCATGTTCAGAGAGATGGAGGGGAAACAAAAGAAAATGTAAACCAAATTAGAACTCAACTCCATGACTTCTAACATCACTGGAACGTTGTTCATGTACTGCAGCAGGCTTTCTTATTCTTACCTTGAAGGTATGAAGGACGTTTTGTTGAATCCTCGTGCCCTGAATAGATGAAGCAAAAATATTAACCCTGGGACTTTCAAACAGCCACATTTAAACAATCTCGGGTCCATGTACCTTGAGGTCGCGGAGGTCGCAAAGGTGGATGGTCTCTCGTCATCACATACACTACAGAAAGGAGAGGATGAGTTGTTACAAACATCTGAAGGTGCCCCTTTCTATAACAGTCAAAAACAAACAGCTTTTTAAGTTGCCGTACCTGTGTTTGGTGTGGTGGCCTGACCGCTGTCGTTAGCTGCTGCACCACTGGTTGTTGAAGCCCCAGGATCAGGATTCACTATAAAGAAAAGGAAAGTTTTGACTGTCAGAAGAAGGGAGGAGAAGAGAGGCGAGGAGGAGGATGAGGAGGAGACGATCACTGACCTAATGTGGCGATCTTGGCCAGGCCGGTTTTGCAGAGGTCCTGCATTGACTCTTGCAGTTGTTTCATGGCCGAGCGGACGGAGGCCACCACCGCTTCCTCCTGACTCAGTACGGACTCTCCTGTGGCACCCGTCTGACCCGGCGGCTCCATGATGAGGAAATTCTTAAGATTGAATGACACCACAATACTTGTCAATCCTGTGAAATTCAAATGAAATTCATCTTTGGCAACGATTTGCGTCACACTTACTACCTTCAAGAAGCGGATGTTGTCCTGCATGTCGGCCAGCCGGGTCAGCTCCTCGCTCTTCCAGCGCAGCGGTGCCACCTCCTGCTCCAGTTTGTGGATCTGGCCCTCGACCCGGCTGCCTAAGGAGGTCTCATGGTTGTCGAGGACCTCACCGACCTGGATGCTGGTTAGATTCACGCTCTTGACGAGCTCTGTGAATACGTCTGTGCTTTCTTGCTTCAGAGCGTGCACCAAGGCCTGGGAGTGCCCAGAGAGGAGAAGAATGTCAATGTGTGTGTGTGTGTGTGTGTGTGTGTGTGTGTGTGTGTGTGTGTGTGATAAGCAAGACGTCAGAAACAGTTTCTACATCAAACCATCAGAACTGTTGCTAACCTTGTGTTGGCGAGCAACAAGTGGGAGCTCCACAATCCTCTTTTCAGTCGCCTGGATTCTCTTCTGTATGTCCACCTGCATCTGAGCCAGCTCTTTCTAGACACACACATCATCCATTGCTTAGTATAGATACAGGTATAATATAGAAAAGAGGCCACACACAATGCAGGACAGTAATGGACCTTGATTGTACTTTGTGATTAGACATGTGACATGTTGTAAACAAATATTTTGACCTTAAAGAAGGCGAAGAGCACTTCCACACAGGAATGTGCAGTAAAAACAGTACTTCAAGTTCAGCTACATTTTGGAAATGTTACACAACACAGTCTTGTATTCACCCACACCTCCTCTTACACACCAACACCAACATGATAGGGGAAAATAAAACTACTTAAGAGCACTGATAATATCCCCATGGTGACATTTGCCCTGTCCATTACATACCTGTCTCTCCTTCCTCTCTTCCTGTGGTTTGAGCACACGGTGTCCCTTGTGTCCATGCTGGCAACACACCTCACAGACGTACTCCTTGTCCTCGCAGCAAAACAGGTCCAGGGGTTGGTTGTGCTGAGGGCAGGGCCTGGGGTCCTCCGTGGGGAGCTGAGGGTACATGCTGCCCTGTCGCGTCCCTCTAGCCGGTAGGACCTCCAGGTAGATGGGCATGGATGGCAGCGCAGAGGAGACAACGGTGGACAAGCTTCGCTTGAGGCTGTTGGTTCTCAGTTTCTCTATACACTCCGCGAGCACAGTGCTCTTGGCCAGGGAGGGTCGAGGGTTGAAGACCTGCCTGCACTGGGGGCAGCTGCACTGACCCTTGCTGTCCCTCTTGTCCCAGTGGCTCTGGATACAAGCCAAGCAGTATGAATGTCCACAGGGCAGCGTGGCCGGGTCCTTCAGGGTGTCCAGGCACACTGAGCAGACAAAGGTCTCCTCTTCAGACCAGGCTGAGGCCATAGTGGTGCCGGGGTGGAACGCAGGAGGGTGAGCTAGATTTTTCGGAGGTCAGACCTGGGTGAATGGACAACCAAAAAGGTTCCCCGTTTGAGAAGGTTACAGAACTGGAGTCTGTTAAGTTAAAGGAAATACTGCCAAAGATGGCAATGCTGAAATGCCAGCTCACATGAAACTCATGCTGCTTAAAAAGCAAGGCAGTCTGGACTCAGGGTGGGGCTGGTAAAACAGGTTGGGTGAGGAGTTTCTCTCGCTTGTGTCATTCGGTGCATTCCCAGTATGTCAAATGACAAATAATAGGCCTCATGAACCTCTGTAATGGCAACTTTACATCACTGTGAGAATTAACTTTTGACCAACAATGGAACCAGATGATGTCAAGAGTTAAGAAGAGCCACACAGTGATGCTAGGGCTCCTTAGAAATAAGAACTATTCTCATGTTTTAAGTCAAGGCCTGGTTAATGTGGAGTGCAATGAGGACAGACTGGTTTTTGCCTCACCTGACCAGTGATGCAAATGTGCAAACACAATGGGGGGGGGGGGGGGGTCACCAGTCATCAGTCAAGTAATGCATTACTAGCAGTAAATACAAGCTGTAAAAGAGTTGTAAAAGGAGTTTTCCCCCGTCGTCGCAGTGAGGGCAGCACTGACGCGCATGCGCCATATTGACCAGTGGCAGCCGGCTAGCCGGGCGACAGGCCAACTGCCGGTTATTCAACTTTCAAGGTGAGTGTTTTCTGCTATCAAATAACATTTTAATTCCCACTACGGGTCACTGGCGTGTATTCTGACTTCGCTTAGGACAAGTCGGATCCTTCCCCATTGACCACATTTAAAGTTTATCTTTGGGATACATTGACATTTGCTAGTTGTATGCTCAGGTTGTAGCAAGCTAGTTAGCTTCGACATCTGCTTTTAGAGCCATATTTACGACTACCAAACCAATTTTTGATGGTGTAAGTTTGATAGTGGAGAACCCAGGAGACCTGGACTCTTTAACGTACATGTTTATTTTGTGAAAATATTAACGTAACTGTCAAAACTCAGCTAAGCTAGCTAACTAGCGGCTGTAGCTAGTTAGTTAGCGAAAGTTTGAAAGCGGCTATAGCTAATTTAAGGACTAGCTAACAGCTGCACTTTGGGGGTTTGGAGACCAGATGAAATAATATTTGTGCTGATGGTTAGGCTACTAAGTATTGTTACATTTGGGTAAACCTCAGCAGCTCATGCTAACACTTTCACGCATACGTAACTTAAGCGTCACTCCTTCTCTGCCGGTGTAGCCATGTGGCATGTATGCTTCACCTGAGCTGTGAGATGGCCCCACATTTAATACACAAATCACTTGCCTGTGTAATTCGCTATTGAAGAAAATGAGCTTCATTGGCTGATGCATTTAATACTGTCTGTGTGTTTTTATTTATTTTTCCAGGATGTTTAGGGCCCCCCAGATCCTGATTTGGTCTTGTCCCCTCAGGCCATTGCTGCTATTGAGAGAGTGCCACCTCTCTGGTTTCTCTAAGCATGCTGCTGCTGGATGGCAGGGTGCAAGGGATGGGAAGAGGAGGAGATATGACGGGCTCCCTGGAAGTAAGGAGAGGTCATCAGAGACTGGACCTTGTGCAACACAGCTGTCTTTATTTAACTCTAACTGTGACAATCCGAAGCAGAGAGAGGCTTTGTCTCAAAACTTCCCATCCAAAGCCACTTTGTCCAGCTATCAACACCTCCCTCAGGTTCCTGCCTCAGCAAACCCCAAAGCTGTGAGAACTTACCGAGACTGTTTAATCAACACAACTTGCCTTCAGCCCTGGAGGAGGCCGTGGGACATTTGCCAACCTTCACACGGTTCCACCTGTAAGACTCGGTGCAACCTTCTCCAAAGCCGTTCGTATTGCAGACAGCACTCTATTAGACCTTTCAGCTCGTCGACACGTGCGCCATGGATTTTGAACCACTTTCTCAGTAGACGACAACCCTCCAGCCTCTCTTGTCAAAAAAACAGAGCAGTTCATCAGGCCGCCGCTCACGAGGTTGACGGCTGGAGGGAATGTCTTTCCCTGCAGAATGAAAACAGGTGTCGACAGAGCCTGGGGCCTAACTTGAAGCTGTACGAGGCCGGAAAAAAGGGGGCAACTGAGAGCCAGGGAAAGAGCCAGGGGAGATGGGCGTCAGTCCTGGTCTCTCTGTGCTCTAATCAGGGGGAGCCGGCGGTTCTTTTCACCCTGCGCTCCAGCACTTTGAAGGGCCGCCACAAGGGAGATGTCAGGTAAAGGGGCAGGCGAGAAACTACACTGTTTTAAAAAGCTCCAGTATAGTGGCGTCTCTGTCCTCATTTCCTGTCATTTGTAGCTTTGCAGGAGGAAAAAGTGATCCGTCAGATAGCGATGTGGTGGCCACGGCGTTGAGGGAAGCCAGGGAGGAGCTGGGTGTTTGTGTGGCGACGGAGCAGGTCTGGGGCATCTTGAAGCCTCTCAGAGACATGGTGAGTACAAGCGTCATGTATTTAAGAGTCACACTACACCATTGAGTGTCAAGATAGGATGATTACCATTTTATGAATGTATGGCGGGTATTGCAAAACAGCGGTGGTTTATTTTATTAGCTTTTTTTTTTTTAAACAAACGGTTCATGGTTTTGTCTAATCATTAATTCAAAACGTTATCATTTTGAGTACTTTGTCTGATTGTGACGCTGCTTGTGTCTTTCGTCTCTCTCGTCAGTCGGGCATGATGATTGCTCCTGTACTCGCTAACCTTGGCCCCATGGAGGAGTTGTCCTTCGAACCAAACCCTGGGGAGGTAAAGCTTTTATATCTGCTAGAGAGGAGCGGGTTTCCACATGTGTAAATGACAAGTAATGAACAAGTGAATAGACAAGTAAACGAATAACTTAAAAAACAATCGCACCTCTCTTTTTGTGAGTTTCAATGTAAATCCCAAATGTTTAAACTCTGCTTCCTTTGCCTGTTTCTGTCCCAGGTCGAGGAGATTTTCACCTTGTCCTTATCCCACCTGTGCAACCCTCACAACCGCGGCTACACACACTTCCGCTCCGGTGACAAGTACGGATACACTGTACCGGTGTTTCGTAACGGGAAGCATCGAGTGTGGGGTCTGACAGCCATTGCCCTGAACCACACCCTGCAGCTCATTGTCCCCCATTAGCAGCTTTTACAGTTTATGGCACACTCGTCATGTGACTCTAGGACTTGATCTAGGCATATGTGCAGTCAAGGTTTGTGTAGCAAAATCAATCCAGGAATCAGTGTGAATGTGAAATATTTTTCTTTTATGAAGGTAAATTTCTTTCCAGTCAGGAGAAGATATATATATTTTTTCCACTTGCGCACTTTCTGAGCCTCGGGTGTATAAAAATGTCTACCGAATGGATCATGTGTATAAAGGTGGTGGCCGGCTGTGAGCAGTTGTTGGACGTCTTAGATATGACGTAACAACATCAAAAAGCAGTGCCAATACTTTAATTATACCTGAATGATTCTTACCTGAACATTTATCGGTATTTCTCTGTATTATGAGCTACTTTAATTTAGCAGCAGTTACCAAAATAAAGAATATTAACAAGCTAAATCAATGAGTCGCTGAGAGTTTTCCCCCTGAGGCTTGTTTTTATTACATTTTTATTTTGTGCAGAGATCATAGTTTCCAGTGTGATTCAGCTCACGTCCGTTTTTATCTCACACTGGATCAAATCTTGACTGTTTAAAAACACTGAAAGGATAGAAGAGCATTGTGTGTGTTGGTGAACAATGCAATAAAGGTTGTTTTGAAGGTATTCTCCCTGTATTCATTCTAAAAAGGTGAGATCTGTTTCTGTGTGATTGACATCAAGGCAATAAATAATGCAAAAAGACAATAGGTTTCTAATGAATGGGGAGTTTGAGAACTTTCTTTTTGCTCAGTTGGTTTCTGAATCGCACAAAAAACGTGAGTTATTTTTATTTATGTACGTTCTCTTAAAATAGCCACCGTGCAACGATTGTCTGCATCCACCACAAGCTTTAAAGGCAGCAGGTTTTAATGAGGCGATGAATGAAGTCAACACTGCGTTCTACAACACAACTCTTGAATGCTGAGGACCTACTGAGTCCAGAAAACTAGTATTCAGTTCTGTAAAATGCCGGCCTTTCGGTCCTCAAACTGCTGCCAGTCTGAAGTGAAATGTTGGGGTGGAGACGATCATCTCTAACTGACAAAAAAAACCCCGTAAACATCAAGGCAGCGAGCACTCCACGGGGTCCTGTGAGTCCGGCAGGAGGTGGCAGTTGAAGGGCCAGCTGAAGGAGAAGAGGTCCAGGGCCTGGCTGCATTGCTGCTCGGCAGAGGAGCAGACGGAGCGGCAGGGCTGGAGGACGCCACCCTGAGGGCTGCACTGGGGCAGAAACATCCCACACACCAGCCTCCGCAAGGGCTCGAAGCACGCCAGCTCCATCAGCACCTGGACGACGAAACGGAGAAAAGAAGAGCTTGAACGTCAGACTTGAAACAGCTGTATGGTTGTTATAAGAAGTTAAAGCCGTCAGCGTGTTTTTGTCCCACCAAGGGGCTCGATTTTTTGAAGATTATGCAGCAGCAACAAGAAGTTGGTTAGTTATGAAGGTAGCTTCTACCCGGTACTGTCGCAGGAGCGTGGCAGCTTCTCTCTGGTCAGCAATGGACAGCCAGATGTTTGGGAATGAGGTGAGGTTGTAGCTGAGGCCTTGACACATCTGCACCTCTATGACCTCACACGATGAAGCTGAGGGCATAGAGAAACCAAATCTTTCCTTTTCCTATTTTACATTTATGTAGTCTAATATTTGTTATTATCCCTCTAATAGACAAAGGAAGTTATGATGTAATCGCAAACTTTTATTCTGACAGGGTTTTGTTGTTTTTGTGCTAAGCGGGATTTCAGCAGCAAAACTCTGGGAACAAACACTGCTGTATCTGTGACTGTGATCGGGGTCAGATGTAACAGGGACTCACTGAAGGGAGGGTAGGTGGAGTTGCCACAGCCCTGCTCATCTGCTCCGTCGGGGCAGTCGTCCCATCCATCACACAGCCACTGCTGCTGAAGACACTCCCCTGTGCTGCAGGCAAACTGGCTGGGACCACATGTCCCTTTAAATCCAGACAGAAACAAACACTGGAGGGTTATCGAAAGGAAATACTGTAATAGGAAAGGATTTCCTTCTCCCTTTATAAGGAGTTTAACAAAGCGTCAGGTGTAAGCTGCCAGTTTTTGGAAGACTAAAAGTAGGTCATATAATAAGAAGAAGGTGGTCTAAAAGAGGTGGTCTAAAAGAGGTAAGATGTGAAGGAAGTGGTAAGGAGAGAAACAAAGGAGACAGGAAGTAAAACAAAGGAGAAAATATGGAAAGAAAAAAGCATCACACAGCTGTTTGGTTAAATATGAATTCAATTTTTTTTTATCAAGAACTCACTGCCCAGGACAGACACTGCCTGGTATGTTGCATTGAAGCCGCTGTCAGCCACTCCCTCATCGGCCACAAACACCACAGTCATGTGGGGGCTGGAGGAGGTCAGGTCTGGAGGGAAGGTGGTACCACAAAACCTGAGACAGAGGTAGAGGAAACAAAAGCTGCTTCAGAACTCTCTGTGGCAATATATATAAAGGATGGCATAAATGTACCTGCATTTACATGTTTACGGTGGCAATCACCGTATTTTCATTGAAATAAAAGTCTGTTAAGTTACGTTCAATCTATCACCAAAGGAGGTAAGACAGTAGTGATTGGGCCTATGGTCCACGGATGAAAGTGTTACAATATTTATATATTTACAGTGCTATGAACTGGGTGTCTGTGGCGACATTCCCCAGAAAAAAAAGCACAATTCCTCTGTTTTCACTCAGATAGAAATTCTAAATCAACCAGGTCTGTAATCCTAAGGATCGCCACTTTAAACAGCAAGGAAGAGATAACTGAAGCTGCAGTTACTGTCCAGGTTCTCACCTTCCCAGCACTCTTCCAGCTCCAGTGTCGGCGCTGTCGTGCACCTCCACGTAGTCAAACTCACACACGTCCTGAGTCTCCAGGCTGAAGTTCTTGAAGCTCAGCGTAATGACGTGACCCTCCTCAACAGATATGTACCATATGCACAACTGATGGGAAACAGAAGAACGCCAGATCAGTGAAGAACACGGCCCTGTGATGGGTAGTTTGGAGGGAAGAATGTACCTGCTGGTGAGGGTAAGGCCTGGGGTGGTTTGGACTTGATATGTAACCAAACGGCCCCGTCTTCTGCCCACCACAGTCTGTTGGAAATGAAAAAGGCCCATGAGTTCACTCTTGTGTTGTTGTTTTCTTTACTTTTTTTGCAGGCTCTCACCTTTGTGTTTATGACTGCAGTTTGCCTCGTCCGCCTGGTCGTGGCAGTTTGGATGACCGTCACACACGGACACGGGCAGCAGACAGCGACCACTGTCACACATGAACTCCTCTCTGGAGCAGCTCTCTGAGGAAACACACACAGCAGCAGATGCATGCACTTAAATGGTAATGGACACCAGTGACATGAGTCCATGTATTTTGACGCACACACTACTGACTATGTCCAGGCAGCGTGGCTCTGTATTGAGCGGTGAAGCCGCTGCCTGCGATGCTGCCATCAGATCGAAAGGTGACCCACACCGAGCCGCCGTTTGTGTTGACTGTCGGTGGTGCAACGTTTCCGCAGAACCTGCAGGAGAGAGATAAACAGTTTTTTTTCTTCTCTCTCTCCATATTACAGCTTTGGAGTTGCCAGTGGAGTCTGAACTTTGCACCGTAAATTCTGAAAAGGATTAGCGAGCCAGTCATGTAACATTATTAGAATTTCATCAATCGTTCATTACGACACTTTCCAAGAATGCAACTAGGCAAACAGTTTCCTCTTGTGTTGAAATCTTTCCAAGAAGCCTTTCGGTACCTAGAAGCCCTCTCCTGTTATGCACAGAGCTTTAGTGACACCTACCAACCAGTTGTGGTAACGTCATGAACCGTAAATGAGACAAGCATATAGGTTCATTTGAGTTTTAAATTTCAGGTGTGTCTGCCATTTTCATACACTCAAGTGTGTATTTGCCAGAAGACACATCAATACACACATCAATACTAACACGATGAGATTGTTTTTGTTATTCCTCTCCGGAGTGACATTTAGTGCAAGTGCAAAGTTCAACTTCTTCTTACAACAGGAGCATAAGCCTCGAAAGGAGAGCATTAGGCAGTGTTGTATAAAAATAACATCTGAGGAGAAACTACGCAGCTGTGTCTGGAGAGGAAAACTGACAAAGGCCCTGAAAGTATTTGATACGTGGAGATATTTGGGGTTCTGAACTACCTGGTGACCACGGAGCTCTGTTCTATCTGCTGCTGCACCTCGAGCCAGTCAAACAGACAGGGAGACGGCCCCTCGACGGTCAGAGAGGTAACGTGGATCTGGACCTGGTAGGGGGGTGCGACTCGGATCACCCACACGCACAGCAAGTTGGGGGGATAAGAGCCGGGGTGGTTTGGAGAACTGAAACTGCCCTCTGAGTCGGTCAACACCCCTCCACAACCTGAGAGACAGAGAGGGACACCAGTTACAGCTGCACAAGAAAGATAGAAAAAATGTTTTTACAATTACAATATAAATGGCCATTTAGTTTCAATCACTTACGTGTTTCAGATGTTGGGATCTTCGCGGGCTGTGGTGCAGATGTACCAGTTGGCAGTTGACTCTTGTTGGCAGAGATTGTGGGTAAAGTTTGGGATGCTCCATCTCCTGTATTCAGCCGGTCTGGAGATCTGGTGGACAGCAACGGATCCTCCACTGCCTGGCTCTTCATCTCTGGAAACATGACAGGGAGACTGGGGTTGCAGTATTGGTTAAATCAGGATACTTTATGTTTTTTTTCAGTTTGCATGAAAATCACATATTGAACCAGCTATAATCCGAGTTTATAAAAATCCCATAAAACCCTTTCAACCAGTTTCTTTCTCTTTTCAATCTCTTTTTCGTTGTGATGATGAGGGATGCTGAGGTGCAGCAGAGACTCACGCGTGAGGATGAGAGCCAGCGCCAGTCCGAGGGCTGTTACCAGGAGCAGGGCCGCGACACAGACCACCACGGCCCCCCAGCCACAACCTGGGCCCCTCAGACGCATCACACACACCCCAAACAGACCCCGGCCTAGACCTGAATAACACATTAAAGGGTGATATGTTATTACCTTCCATGAACTTGTCAAACTTGTGAGAGACAGACTGAAAACAAGAGTGATCAAACTTAAAGCAGCTTAAACCAAGACACTTTTAGTTCCTAGTATGGATCATCCACCAAAAACAAGGAATCAACCTTTCCCATAATGCAACTTGGTAGTGTCTTTGACAGACTCTCCTTGTCTGCTAAACACACATGTCTTTCAAACTCTACACCTCCACTTTTTAATACAGGTTCACTTTTTTGCATTTAGTCTACAAACCCAAGCTGAGATAACCCTGATGACATCACTGTGACATCATCGAGGTTGTTGTCTTTTTAAGAAACATCCTCCAGAGCCACAGGAGATATTGTTCAACTGTTAACACAAGCTAAATGGGATTAACCATGACCAGTGAATTTATCTTATACATGTAAAAGTGGTGGATTACTCCGTTAATGCTTGGTTATACTGTGAGCCATCCCGACCATGTTTAACACACACTTCTTAACTATATTCTTTAGGATAATCAGAGTCTAGATGATGCAATCATATTGCTAATCCAGTGCACATACACAGTCTAATACAGTTCAAGTTTAGTCACAGAAAGCTGCAAGCTGATTGGCTGACTCACCAGCTGCCGGCGGTTTGATTGGTTCAGGGGTGGAGGAGGACGTCCTGAATCCCTCCACTCTCTCCTCTCGCTCCCCCTCCAGCTCAAAGGCAGGGTTGCAGAACACATTCTGCAGAAAGAAAAGTACAAAGTTGTGGAAATGAAACTATATCAATTTTAAAAAAAAACTTCATAAAGTTGTAGACTATTGAATAGTAAACATATTCTTGCTTTTTCAGTGGATTCATTTCATAATTAATTTCATTTTTATTGGATACTGTCGCCGACAACAACCCCGTGAGAGTGAGAGTGAGCCAAGCGGCACATTTTCACATCTTTCTCAGTGAATAAACTTTAACTTCGACCAAACCGGAGCTGCTTATTGGAACAGTGTAAAAGACTAACCAAGACGTATTCGGTGACTTATATTTGGTTACTGTCTAAGAAACTTGAATTCAGAAGGTGCAATACAGTTGTATTTCTCAGTTGATGTGTAACAATAGTTCCTGCACTGACATTTAGTGAGTTTATTTGTCAGATGAAGTGAACTCGCCTGGCAAATGTAAGTCCAACATTCAATCTCTTTTAGCTCTGTTTTTGGTCTCAACCAACTCTCGAGGTAAATATCCGGCTCTTTAGCTGCTAAATGCTCCGATATCTTTAGCTGCTAACAGGTTCTGGGCCAATGAGCTGAAACTCAGTATACTTCCTAAAGCAGAGGCGAGCTGCAGATTCAGGTAATAATTCTCTAAAGATTCATCCCGATGAGAGTGACATCTTTCACATTGTCGTTTGATTTTATACCAATATTGTTTATAGCCGCTTTAAAGCAACTTACTGAACAGCATTTTGGGAAATGTAGGGAACTCCAACGCGCTATCATCGTGTAATTGCTGCTTGAGGCCGCTGTGGCTGCTGTTCGGCAAACGTGACAAAGCCTCGCTTTAGATATTTACCCAATATTTACTGTTATATTTACACATTTAATGCTCAAATGAGAGACACGTGTAGGTCTCTGGTAAAAAAAATACCATCTGGTCCAATCACACGTCTAAGAAGCAGGATAAAAAGACTAAAAATAACTGGCATAGCAGGGTTTCAGGACCATAAGGCTTGAAATTAGGTTTAATTAATTATAATATTTTTGTAGAAGAAAAACAAATTTGAAATAAATTCAGCTATTCCAAAAAAAGCAAGTTGGTAAGATGATCATAATGGACTAAATAGGATACAATCTGCTAAACGTCTCATTGTCTCCGTGACCTTTCCCACATCACATCACCTTCATCAACCACCATGATCCATCTCATCCTACTCACTCACCTTATAGATATCTGAAGAGTCGGAGTAAACTGCAACCTGGCTGAGGTCAGACATCTTTAGTCCGCTGTCACTGTTACCTCAACATTGTTCACTTTTTGCTCCTGCGGTTCCACTGAAGTGCAGCAAGTTTACGGCCTTCAATCCTCCATCGTAAAAGAGCTCTTTGTTGGACATCCATCAACGTAATCCAGATCAGAATAACAAATATAATTCAATTTTCAAACTCTGGTTTGAAAAACAACATCCATGTTTGCAGCTATTCTTTGGCCTTTTTGTCTGTTTTAGCAGCACCAACCTGCATTTCTCTTGTTTTCGTATGGTGTGCAAGTGGTTACGAAAGAGTTTCAGAAACTCCTTCAACGTGTTGAACAAAGCCGTGTCAGCTGAGAGGACTGAGCCCCTCGGAGGAGGAGGAGGAGAAGGGGAGAAGGGGGGGAGGATGGAGGTAGGCATGGGGGTCCCTGTTAAATCTCGATAATCCCTATAATGATCTTTTAAGCCGTTTTATTCACATGCACGCTCGCATGCTCGAACCTGACGAAACACACAAATGCACACCGTTTTAAACCCCCCGAACACTGGCACAGAGACGGTCTGAGTCATGTAGTAATACTTCTGAATATTTAGGCATCTAAACAACAACAGTGTTGGGGTGAGGTCCGTTTCTTTGTGAATGGTGAATAATAGCGAGACGTGCTGAAGAGATTGAGATTTGAAATTCCAGTTTTTGCCCAAAGCTGGCTAATGGTGTTGCAGTTGAGTGTCCTAATAGCAGCTTTTATGAGGCTTTAAATGACCAAGTAATGTAAGAAATGTCACCAAAGACAGAGAAACAGAAAAAAACTAGTGCACACCAATAATGAAAGTAAGAGCTCAAATCTGTGTTCTGTCCCAAATTGCTCAATCTCCCCTCCCTGTTTGCTGCTGCTGTGTTAATGGGTAATCAGTCGTCAAATAAAGCATCTGACTGCAGGTCGATACGGACGCTATCGCTGAGGTTTTTGTCACTCAGAGACTCAAATGCCAGCAATACAGTCTGGTCATGTATGCCAAGCTCATTCTATGGATCCTGCTCTTCACCTCTGTCCAGGAGGGTGAGCACTCTTACATTTTCACAAGTATTTTGTTAAATTGATGTCGATCCAAACCATACGGCTGTGTTGACGCATGTTTGTCTCCGACACTTTGTTTGTGCTCCAGTGTCCCTGCAGGATTACGGTTCTGAAGATGAGACGTACGAGGATCCGCCGCCTCTGAACTGCTCAACCACAGAGAGCATCAAAGGTGGACATGTCGCCTACTCACAGGTAAAGATAATACACTGAGCTGACATGATTAGTTGATCAATCACTTTTTGGTTGCAGCTTCTCAAAAATGAGAATCTTTTCTCATTCTGTTTTGAATATACACCAGGATTTTTTTCTGGTTGGTTGGTCAGACAAAACTTTATAATTTCCTTTTTTGCTCAACAATAATCTAATGATTGAGATAAATCTACAGTGAAAATAATCGGTACTTCACTCACGATGAGAGTCAGATCAGCAAAGTGAAATATGGCTCCTTTAAGAGCGTGTATGTACATTAGTTCAGCTCTGCTGTCCTGATGCAGTTTTATGTATTATGATATCTGTGATGTAATGTAAAATATTTCAAAAAGAGAGGTCATTAAGAGGGTGTTATTCAGGGGCAGAAAATAGGCAAAATGGAAAATGGTGAAAATAGATAATAATTAAATAACAATATGTTAGAAACAATGACAAAACCATGAAATAAATGTGTTTCAGTATTATTCATGCAAGTAAAAGTGAGGCACATCACTGAATTAGGAAGTTCATTTTCTGATAAAAAGGAACTAGAGGTTCTGGAAAGTGAAACAAATGTAGCACTTATTTACTGGAAAGCTTCATGTTACTTAATTTAGCTCCAGAAGTGACCATGTGTTTCCTCCACAGGGAGGACTGGAGGGCAGTGTGCTGACCTATCACTGCGGTGCGGGGCGATACCCTTTCCCGGTAAGCTACCGGCTCTGCAGCGCTGACGGGGAGTGGTCGCTGATGAGATCAACCGGTGGCAGACAGGTGTCCCGGGCCACATGCAAAGGTAGTGGTTTGGATGATGATTCGGGGAGTTTTCTCTCAAAGCACCACTCTGTGATTTTCATCCATCTCTTCTCTCCTGCGTCATCATCTTCTCCATCCTCTTTTCTGTCCGTCCGCCTCTCTCCAGACGTGTTGTGTCCGGCTCAGCTCCAGCTGGATCACGGCGACCTCTGGCCCAGAGACCAGTGGTCCCGCGTCGGGTCGACGCAGAGCTTCTCCTGCCAGGACGGCTTCACCCTGTACGGGTCAGCCCAGAGGAACTGCACCCACTCTGGGGAGTGGACAGGAACCACTCCCGTCTGTGACAACCATGGTGAGGACTTTACAAACCTGCATGATTAAATTATGTACAATACACGGCTATATTTTCCCCTAGTTGAGAATAATTGAGAATATCCACTTACATGAGGCCCTGAGCCCAGTTCATCAGGTGTATTAGAGCCTGTGGTACAGTGAGCATGCACTGACCAAGCTCATACTTTCTGAGGTTTACATTTTAAAGCGGCTTTTGTTGAATACATATAAATGAGCCCTGCAAACTGATTTTAACTGTTGTTTACTGTGACACAAAATCACGGAGCAAGTTTTGCATTTACCCTTCTTAATGTAACAATTCAGTGTTTAAGCTTGCAATGTGTTTCTGACGTTTTAAAAGGCCTTTGTGCATCAGTTCAAAGTACTACATAATCATCTTTTGGAAATAAAGTATTGTAGTCATTTCTATACAAACACAAACACTTGTATCATTTTTTAAGAATTGTTCTGACCTAAACAAATCATTGTATATTTTGTCTCTGCAGCTGACGACTGTAGTGACCCGGGGATCCCACCAGGGGCCCAGAGGTCAGCAGGCCGGTTTCAAACAGGGGAGAAGGTGGTCTACCGGTGTCAGACTGGTCTGAATCTACTTGGGTCGGCTGAAAGGGTTTGCCTGGAGAACAGGGAGTGGAGCGGTTCGACACCGCGGTGCCAAGGTGCAGAGTGACTGTTTTTATGCAATATAAGGGTAAACGCAGTTTTATAGTTCGGTATTTTTCTTTTGACAGTCCAGTGTGTGGGATTTTGTGGACTCGTTGTGTTTGAACTAAGAATCGTTGTGTCCAGACATTGGCCCAGAATGGAAAAATCAACCACTGGCTGTATCTAGAGAGGGGCTTTCGCGTTTTTTACATTACCGGAAGGCCACCGTAGTCTTCTGACTTCAGTTGCTCCTAAAGTTGTGTTATTGTGGTAAGGACGGCCTCTGAGTGAGGCGAACGGTGTTGGTTTTGCACTCAACGGCTCATGTTATTGCAGTATTGCAAAGAGAGGAGTGACAAGAGGGGCGTTCAGTTGATTGCAATCTACAACTTCACCACTAGATGTCGCCAACTCCTACACACTGTGCCTTAAAAACAACAAAAGATTTCATTTTTAAGACAAAAGAAACAAACAAAGACTACAGCAATTGGGCATCAAAGCAGTTACAATGAAACATCCATGTGAGATATGTTTGCGCTTCACTACAGGCCCGAATACCTTTGACTCCCCCAGCTCTGTGGCAGCAGCCATGGCGGGGTCACTTGCAGGAGTCATGGACGTAATCTCGCCAGACTCCAAAAAGAAAGGTGCGTATAAAAGGGCCGAATAACATGAGGTTTATAAGTGCAAATACGTAAACTTAAAGAGCAACTCGCTCAATTCAACTGCAATTTGTGTGTTTAAGCTGCAACAAGGTCCTTTGGCCGAACCTTCCGCGTGGATGAAGGCAGTCGTATGAATGTCTACATTTTGCTGGACACATCAGGAAGCATCAGAAAGCAGGACTTTGATTTATCCAGGAAGGCCACCATTGCTCTCATCAGAAAGGTCTGTGCCAAATGAGCTTACTTGACTCAACAGTGAGTGAAAGACAACAACAAAAAAGATTGAATCACATTAGTGAACTAGATTTGTGTGTCATTGTGTGTCTCCTTCATTTTCCTTCTAGTTGGACAGCTACGAGGTGCAGCTGAAGTTCCACGTGTTGTCATTTGCCAGCGAGGCTAGAGACATCGTAGACATCAGAGACTTGGATAGAAGTGGTAGCATCGACGACATCATATGGAATCTGGAGGAGTTTGACTACCATAGTAGGACTTGTCATGACTTAGTTTACTTACAGTATTCATTCCTGTAACAACCACAATTTTGTGATATTCTCAAGCAGGCCTGAATCCGTACCGTACGCTACAACTATGATGCACCAATGTGTTTGATGGTTTAATTGAATTATTTATCAATTAATTTTTGTAGAATTGAATCTTTTGCATCTGTTCATCTGCAGGCCACGGGCAAAAGACGGGCACCAACCTGCACGCTGCCCTGCACCGCGTCACTGAGTTGATCAGCTACTTTAAGCAAAACAGCGCCAGGAACCATTTTAATGAGACTCAGAACATCATCATCGTAGAAACAGACGGTAAAGACGCTCACACGTCTCACAAGCCCGTGAAAAAAAGCATCTTCAGCTCATCTTCAGCTCCTCTTTTTTTTGGGAAAAGGGAACACAAGAAGAGCCTCATCCTTAAGCGTATTGTAGCCATTCATCCTCTCTCTTTCCTCTCTCTGCAGGTTACTCCAACACCGGCAACAAGCCTCAGATTGCTCTTCACCAGATCCGAAATCTGCTGGGCTACCACGACACATCCCGCGACCACACAGACGAAACTATGCTGGGTATCAAGACTCAAAAATAGAAGGAAAAAAGATTGAAGTTAATGTTTTAATACAACTTGTACAGCATTTACATTTTAGTTACTCTACTGAGACTTCAGAAACACTTTCACTGATTGTAATCGTAAAGTCAGACAAGTTTGTTTTTAGTGTGTGTAATGTGCATTGACGCTGTTGCCTATGCATGTATACAGCGTATAAGTAATTATTTGCTGTGTTTTCAGATGTCTATGTATTTGGTATCGGGGATCAAGTGAACAAAGATCAGCTGAACTCCTTAGCCTCAAAGAAACGTGGTGAGCAGCACGTCTTTGTGGTGAAAGACTTCCAAACACTGGGAGAGGTGTTCAACAGCATCATCAGTGAGTAGGACATTATTCATTGTGTGTGTGCTTTCTGATTCCTGCTGTCAATTTGTCAGCTGAAAATTTTCATTTTGAGAGACTTTCAACATTAACAATGTGAAAAGTTTTGTTCAGCATTTACTGTTGCTCATTTAAAGTCAACATTATAAGTGACTGAAGTACAACATTGAAATGTTCCTGTTTCATACAGGCGATAAGAGTGTGACGATGTGTGGGGTAGCTCAGGAGCAGGACGAGGATAAGATGGCCTACACCAGACCCTGGCACGTCAAAGTGGAAACGCTCTCAAAGGTCAGTCGCTTTCCATCCGTTTGACATTTTAGATTGGATTCTTTTGCTTTTTTGAACACTTTCCTCCCTTGTAGATTACGCCGTGTGTTGGATCCATTGTGAGCCCGAACTGGGTGCTGACGGCCGCTCACTGCTTTGCCAGAGTGAGCACAGACGTCCCTCAGCAGTTGTTCATAAGTCACGGTCAGTACGAGAAAACTTGACCTAAACACATGGCCAGGGAGGCTTTTAAGTCGTTTAAGCTCCTCTGGAGCAGGCTTTAAGGGTCCACCCTAAACTCACATGGGCTAAATAATATCATGAACATTGAATATACTGTATATATAATTCTGGACATTGGCATCACTACAAATACCTGTACCCCAATATTGAAAAAGCATAACCTTCTCTATCATTTTTTAATTACACTCATGAGCCAGTGACGTAATTTTGCTCAGCTGTGCACTTGTCCTGTTAATATTATGAATGACAATAAAGTTAATTTTAACTCATCATCATCCATAAGATAATAAGATGCATCAACAACAGCAAATGAGTGCTGATTTTGGGTCAGTAGCTTGGTGATCATTTGATGATTTTGTGTCCGTTACACTTTTTATACATGCATGCAGTTCTTGTTTATTCTAATGTTTGAATAAGTGTTTAAAAAATGCATTGTGTCAGATGTTTTAATTTCAATCACATTGAAGTACCACAAGAGCACATTTCTAGCACAAGTTATCTTTTTAGGACTCAAAGCCTAGATTAAAACCATAAAGGTGTCGACTCACTTCGCTTCTCTATTACAGCAGATCTAGATCAGTTCTATTTACCGTCTTGCTGACTTTGCACCATTTTTTATGTTATGACAAGCAGCTTGTTTGGTTCCCAGGTGAGGGCACGGTGGTTTACAAGAAGGTGTTCATTCACCCAAAGTACAACATCAGGGCTCTGGAGCACAGGAACGTGTCGGAGTTCTACGACTACGATGTCGCTCTGGTTCAGGTGAACAAGAGCATCCCGCTCTCCTGGAAAGCCAGGTAAGAAAAGATGGTGAGGAAAAGATGGAGCCACCACGGAAATGTACACCATTTTGTAGCTTAGAAAAGGAATAAATCTTATGCAACTATCATAAATGCTCCTGATTGTCAGTGTGTGTGTACACTGTGTCATACAACAGACCCATCTGCTTGCCGTGTACCGTACCAGCGGATCGAGCCATGAAGAGAGTCAACTCCACCTGTCAGCAGCACAGTACGTGACCTTTACACCTCACAGGAACAAAGGCATTTATAGTATTAAGAGTGTGCAAGGTCTAGTTCCATATTCTCTCTGTGAACAAAGTGTTAATATCTAGAACTCAAGACAAAAAAAAGCTAAAATAGTTAAATGAATATGTGCATTCAGGGAAGGAACTGCTACCACACATGGAGACCGCTGCCTTTTTCATCCATAAGAACGCCGAACGCAAACAAACACACATTCAAACAGACAGTCAGGTGAGTGACAGTTGATGATTTTTCAGACCGTGGGCTGCTTTCATGCTCAGTAACGTGGAGGAAATAAGTCGTTATTATGAAAGCGTGAGTTATTTTCCGTCTGCAGAGGCCGAGCTGTGTGGAGAAGGCGAGGCAAACACTCAAACGGCCCACCAACGTGACTTTGGATGAGTACATACCCGACAGATTGCTCTGTACCGGGGGATCCTCAGCATACCAGTACGCCATCACCTGTAAAGGTCTGGACTCTGCGTTTACTGCATCACAGCTGCCAGTTTGACAAGCATGGGGTTCGCACTAGTTACACGTCATCTCTTTTTGCACAGGTGACTCTGGTGGATCCCTGTTTCTGCCAAAGAGAAATCGCTACTTTCAGGTCAGCGAGGTTTCTCACTTATTAAAGTTTCATTACACACACAGTCAGCATCACGTGGACATTTCTCCCGCTTTCATCTCCAGGTGGGAGTCGTGAGCTGGGGCACGACGAACGTGTGCAACCGGCTCGACCCGGCTATGAGAAAGTACAGCAGCGGGAACCCGCCTCCAGACGCTCGGGACTTTCACATCGACCTGTTCAAGATAATGCCGTGGCTGAAGCAGCACCTGGGGAAGGACATTCAGTTCCTGCCCGATGTCGACTGAGAACATCCAGAAGTGCTTCGAGTAAGATGCAACGACGTAATGTGCGTGAATGTGGGAATAATCACAGACTGTAATATCAAGTATTTTCCAAAGCTTTATTGTCAAAAGGAATACTGATGATTTTTATAACTGTGGTGCGGTAAACTCACTTGTAAATTCATACGCAACATTTAAAGAAAAAGTAATTCTTGTTGTTTTCATTTTTCTAAACTCAACATGTATAATGCATGCATAATCGGAGGCATATATAATGGAAATACACCTGTACTTTATTACTTTAATGCAAGTCTAGTTACCATCACTGGTCTGAATCTGTAGTTAGAGGCCATTGACATACAGTACTCTGCACAGAAGTGAGCGGGGAGCACCAGACAGTCCACCAGCTGAAACATGTCGGTGTCTACTGGCTAACTTGGTGTGTATTTTCTATCACTGTTGCTCATTGGTTGGATCTCACTCTTCAGCTGCTTCTCTGGCTGTTATCTACCATTTTGTTTTTGTCAGTGAGAATTTGACAGTCAAACGACGTTAGAATTCTGTCCAATCAGCCCTCAGAAAACTGCCGGAACAAGGTTTCTGATTGGCTGTCCTTAAAGTTGGGGACAAAGTGGATCTGTAGGATCTCGGAGAATCCCTCCGGGAGAGCAGGAGCCACAAAGTGTTTCCTGTCCAGACAGAGAGCCAGATCAGAGTGGTCAGTCCCAGAGCTATTACTGGTAAGTGTGTTTATTACCAGAATTCTAAACCCTGACTTAGACTTTAGTTTTAACGCAGACACAAAGACGAAACAAAAGCTCCTGAAAATGTATTAAAATAGAAAACTTAACGCGTTGGTGGCATGCGTTTAGCTGCATTTCATCAAATCTGTGCACAAATTTTTTTTTTGTCAGAAAAAACCCCCAAAAAAAAACTTGTATATCTCATGAATGTGAAAAGAAAGAGCAGTATCACTCACTTGTAGCTGTGGAAAATCATGTCATTGACTTTAACGTGTTTGCTGTTCGATGGAACCATCTCACGGAACTGGGAACAACAACAATGCGTTTATAAACAAAAGAAAAGACAACACCACCCAGATTAAGACAAAGCACAGAGTGGAGAGGAGGAGAGACGTACTCTGTTGTTGTGCTTGGCTTGCTCCAGAGAGGCTGAGAAGTGGAAACAGCGACACTGCACTCCTGCTGCCGTTGCCACGTCCACATACCTGGAAAATACACACTGAGTATTGGTTTGACAAACACAGAACAGTAAATTCACACCCTAAAACACAGCAACAGCAGCATACAATCACACGCAAGTAAGTGAAATAAATACAGTCACTAGGTAACCCGTCGCTGGTGCATGAAAACAGTTTTTTGCCATCAGCACATCACAGTCTGTTCTGCAGAACACAGCACGAAATTCTGCTGCTGGAGGCCGTCGGCCCGTTTAAGACATCCATCACACTGAGCCAACACAATTACAAAGAGCCTCAACCAATTCAGAGCTTAGTAAAAAATGCCCCGCCTGCAAATATACTCTTCTGTCTGTCATATGATTGACTGGTGCTCTTTGTTAGCATAAGGATGTACCCCAGAGAGAGGATGATCCTGAGTATATATGCATACTGAAACATGCAAGGACACACACACACACACACACACACACACACACACACACACACACACACGGTTGTGCTTTACCGTTTGCGAGACTCTGGGTCTGGGTTGGTGTTGTCCACCACGACGCTGCGGCCTTCTTTCAGGGCGTGCTCACACGCCGAAACGCAGCTCTGCCACGAACCGAGTGTGTCCTGATGCAAAACAAAACAAAAAAGGTCGTAATGAATAATAATTTAAACAAAAAATCATAATTATCTTTGTGTTGGTGTTTCTCATCATTATTACAATAACACCATCTTTAAAACAGTTACACAATGTGTGGATCAAATAGAAAAGCAGGGTAGCAAACATCAAAGTAACACTCAACAGTTCAAATCTTCTTGTACATAAAAGCGAATGTTCTGGATGTGTTTGGCACTGGAGCCCTGTTCAGTAACATCCACTCACCCTGTTGACGTACACGTAGCCTTTGGGAATGACGTGGGTCTGGAAGAAGGTGGATTTACCAGCTGTGCAGAAAGAGAGGAGGAAACAAGGTCAGCGTGGTGTCGGTGGGACGAGAGGACGGACGAGTCGATAAAAGCGTCTTCTGTCTCTTACACGCAGGGAAACCCACGGCAACAATGACTTCAGTCCTGCTGGAGGTGAGACAGGCGGATAGAGGGTCCAACAGCCCGGCAGTGGAGTCGAGCTTCCTCTAGAAGTTCAGAGGAAGAAAAACGTTTAACGTCGTATTCTCATGTACTGTAAAAAACAAAACAATAAGGTGTGTTCATTGTACTCACAGGGTCAAAATTAGGCAGGCTGTAGGGGGCGTTCTTCCAGCCCAGGAAGTACTCCTCTGGGGTGTGGAACTGCAGTCCAATGTTCAGAGCAAACTACAAAAACAAGAAGGACGAAAGCAACTAGTAAATATATAAATTGTTGCATAATTTATTTACCTTTGTTAATGACATTTAAGATGACACACACACAACGACTCAAGGCAGGAGCAGGAGGATGAGGAGGAGGAGGGGCATTAAGCATTTGAATTTTGGAATACCATATCAGTAAAGCCACCTGTAAACATGGGATGTTCATCACTAATACAACACCACTAATACACCTGGTCCTACCAGTCGGTCACTGCAGGAGAAATCCTTCTTCTTCCTCCCTGGAGCCCAGTTCTCCGGCCTGCCCGCAGCATCTGTGCATGAAGGTAAAGTAAGACGCTCTGTGTGTGTGTGTGTGTGTGCTTGTCAAATGTTTTTAAAGCAATAGTAAGAGGGTAATTTATTTTTGTATTTCTGCACTTTGAAGAGGTTAATAATGTTGGATAATGTTGTTTTGGATGGCTGTGAATCCAGTTAGTTTTAGGTATAGCACTAAGCATTAGGATTTGGGGAGATTTCAGGTAGTTAGTTTTGGGGTTTCAGGAAATAGGACTAAACTAAAAGTTTTGGTGCATCTCCATATCAGACCACTGAGAAGCACGGGGAGTTCATCACGCTGGGCGACACACCCAACCTCACTCACCTCCGACATAGAAAGTCTGCGTCTTGTCAACGGTCACGCCATCATTTGCCTGAATTTAAGGAAACACACACGCACAGACACAGTCAAAACTAGAATAGACGGTGTATTGTCAAACATGCAGAGACCTTAATGCTGGGACAAAAGGGTGGCTCTGATAACTCAGCTTGAATTAGCGAGTAGGAACTATTACTTTTGTACTATCCGTCTCAGAGTAAATACTGTGTTTGGGGTGCGGCTCTTGAACAATATGGGTGTGTTTATGCATCTCTACTGGCATTTACCTTCTCACACAAGTGATTCCACATTCCCATCACCGGCTTCCTGTAGAGACCAGGACTGGTGGACACGAACACCTGAGACGCAGAGATACAAAAGAGTCAGTTTGTTTTGAACAACGATCGGGAGAAAGACGAGAGTTAAACCACAACACGGCCAAACCTGCACAGGCAGCTGCAGCGCGGCCAGGATGTCCTCCACTTTGGACTTAAAGACTTCTGGTTTCAGTTTGCCTCTGGCGATCCCCATCTGGTTGGTGAAGAACACCAGCTGTAGGAAGAGGGAGGGCAGACTAGGAAACCCAGAGTCACATTGCACAGGTTCACATCTGCTAAACTGCACTGAAAATCATCGGCAACTGTTGCTAATCCTCACCTTGTATCCTCTCTTGAGCAAGCTGGCCAGCCGGGGCTGAATCTCAGGATACAGTATCCTGTTGATTGAACACACAAGCAGCTGAATATTACGATAAGCCAGAGAGAGAGAGAGACATACCATTTAAAAAGGGAAAGGGAAGACGTACTTCCAGTCATCTGGCGCAGTGGGAAAGACTTTCCCAGACTTGGTGGTGATGATGCAGCCATCTATGTCAAACCCGGCAATCTGGAGAGCGACAAGAAGAGGAAGAGTTCAGGCATTTACACACGAGAACCCGACGAAGCACTTCTGTGTTCATATGAAAAACTGCTATGTTAACGAGACCGACAAATGATCGAACACTCAAGAATAAAAACATTAAACCACAATTATTTTCACTATTGATAAGACAGAACTTTATTAACCCCGAAGGAAATTCTTGTGCCAAAGTTTGATCAAAGATAACAAAATAAAAATACAAACATATACGAACACTAGAGTAATTGTACGTTTTAAGTATAGAAGAAGTAACTAAATCAAGTCGCCAACAACAAAACGGTGTCGTACTCTGATCTCAGACACTGACGCCGCTCTATTGGAAACACTTCCCACCTTTTCGCTGCCTCTGACACCAGCAGCCGTGTAAAGCATCAGGCTGCCGATCTGCTGCCAGCTGCTCTTCAGACATTCCTTCACAGAGGATGACGATGACGAAGGCCGGGTGCTGTTGCTCCTCTCCGTCATAGACTTCTCTGCCAACTCCTGCAGCTGCTTGAGCTTTTCTTCCGCCATTCTCTCCTCTTCCTCATCCTCTTCCTTCATTGGTCCTCCTGAGGCCTCCTCGTCTCGTCGTTGGCGCTTCACCTCAGGCTGTCCCCTCTCTGGACTCAGCTGTCTTTTAGATGACTGAACAGAAAACAGAAATACAACTTTATAGAATTTCAGTTGTTTGTTCTTCAACTTCTCTTGATAAATATTACCTTTTGTTGCAACATTGCAAAAAGTGAATAAGATACATGACATAATACACTTGGGCTGGGCTGCACCAACAAGAAATCATATCCAAGTATGATTAAAACAACTTTAAATCATGTTGCACCAAACTTCAAAACTAGCTTCAAATGATGTATTATTCAATTGAGATCTCTTTAACCGTCAGTTTAGTTTCTACTTGAAACCTCGATTCAATTTAATTCTGTTGCATCAAAACTCTAATCCTAAATGTGATCCAGTGTTAACTTTAAACTTACACCGAAGAGTTAACGACTAAAACTAAATCCTTGTTGGTGCGTTAATAGTCGTGTCAACACAATAACGGAACAAATGTGATACCTTCATGGGAGAGGTAGAAAAGAAATCCTTTAAACTCCGCTTGGGAATTGGACTCGACTGCGCCTCTTTCCCGTTTCTGCCTCCTTTTGTCTTATCGGTGGCTTTTAGGCCTTTCTGCGCCGTTTCGTTTGAGCTCGGGGAGTAGTGCAGTTTAAACGGGTGGCTCTGGTTCACCAGGAAGAGGGTTCCTCCGTGGGTCAGTTTACCAGACTGGCTCCGGCCCAGCTTCTCACCGTCCAGGAAACTGGGATTGGGACCCAGCTGTTGGAAGAAAATAAGACATGTTTGGACATTGGACTGCATTCTTTATGCACATACAGTGAGTTTATAGGTTGTTAGATAACCAGGGAGCGGCTAGGCAGCAAAGAGAAAAGTGTGCCGTCATCTGGTTTTAAGACATGAAGACATAACTGATTGTGTGCTGCCAAATATTAACTCCCTTCTGGTGTTTGTCGGGCGTGTCTGACAGCCAGTGGTGTTTTCCAGCTTCACAGGGAGACTAACTGAATCATGAACTGTGGCACTGGGATGGGCTTTCATACCTGAGTAACAACAACATCCTGGTCTGCATAGCGAGCCACCACCTTCACTGAGAGACACACAAGGAAACACATCCACCATCATGTACACTCACAGACACATGCACACACGTAGTTGGATATTCATTCGGAGCTGAAATAATGACAACTTTAATAATGACTGAATAGTTTAATTCACTTTTTAAGCAATAATGCAAAAACAAGTAATTCGCATGTCAGCTTTCCTATATTTCCCACTGCTTTCTGACAGTTTTTAGACCAGATGACTAATCGACAACGTAGTCAGATTAATAAATACTAAAAAAAGAATTGCAGCGCTACATTCATTACATATACACAACTACTGTGGCAAGATATTTTCTTGATTCATCATTAATGGTAGAAAAAAGTTCAAAATGTATAAACTACCAGAGCCCAAACATAGCGCTCTAAATTGCTTGCAAAAAACAAATATTCTCAGTCTACAAAGAAAGAAGCCTGAACTACAAATGTTTTTATTTTTGATTGACAAGTGACTCAAACTATTTAAATAGTTGCCAGTTTGTTTTTAAATTGTATCTGTATAATCGATTCATCCACTATAATTTCAGTTATTGAGGTCTACTTCTTATCTTCAACTCCTCCAAATTGTGCAATCTATTTTACAAAGCCCTGAAAGAGTAATTTGATTATTCTCTCCTAACTAATTTATATAGCTCTCTATGTAACACCTATTAAAGTTTAAGGACAGAAACACAATTCCCCCTGAAGGTGTGTCTATGTACCCTGAGTCTGAAATAAAGTCTATCTATCTATGTAAAAAACAGTTGTTAAATTAAACTCAGCAACTTTTTAAAATCATGCTCCACATAGCTACCATGAAGATGCATTCTAACTCTTACTATAAGCAGAATTAATTATGACTTGTGCATTAAAACTTCTTGCATGCCTCTTAAAACCTCATTGAGCACGAGCCAAATCGCTGCGTGCAGTGTATTTCGCAAACTAATTAAACTAATGAGTGTGAGGTGTCATGTAACGTTAAAGCACCACCGTATCTATGTGGAGACCTTCCTCACCCTGGTGCCTGGAGCATCTCTTGTCGGTGACTCCGGTGTCCGGACCCCGGCCCAGAATCACCGCTCGTCCGTTCTCCAGAGGGACCCGCGCTCCAGAGTGGCTGACCAGCGTACACGACATCTGCACGAGCGGCTTTTTTACTTTGAGCCTTATGGTGTGTTTGTGAACGATTTCATAAAGTTATGAACCGAAACATATATAATACATGTAATACACGCGAGAACCGTTACTACTTTTCCCACAACTTCTTTGTATGTTAGTTGGTTGTTGGAAGTGCAGAAAACCGGATGGGGGCTTCTTTTGTGGTGCACCCACTGTCTATCAGAAAAATAGGCTCGTTCGGAAACGTAGTGTCCTTGAAGGTTCCGCTCATGACTGTAGTTTTCCGGGGTTTGAAACGTTTAGCATAGTCTGATAATTCTTGATAATTGTCAGAGAATGCCACGTCCCCATGGTAAAGTAGACTTTATTTAATTAATTTCGATTTGTTTAAATAATAAAAATGTCGTTTCTTGTACATTTGAAGGAGTTTCGGTTTTGAGTGTTGCGCAGCACAGAAAAGTTAACCTACCTGAGTGAGTACTGCGCTGTTTGCTCCTCCACACAGTCAGTCAGACAGACAGAAGTCAAAGAAGAAACATAAGATCAAGACACACGCAGAAAATAAAACAAGATGATGCATTTTCTATTCCTGTAGTTACTTCTCGGGTTGGGTACGTTAAACGCTTCTATGCGTCTAATTTGTCTAATTAAGAAGAAAAACCAGATCGTCATCTTTCCCTATTATTATAATCATATACACATTATTTGTTTTAATAGCATTTGCTCTACCTGGGCGGCCACTGGCCAGGTTTTGTAACTACTCATGAGGGCTGGTTTGTTGGAGAAATCCTTTTTATTTAGAAATGCACCTTGGTTTGTTTATATACACTTTTTGAATATATATTTATATTTATATTGTACATAGTCGTTAAATGTTTATGCTTACATCTTTCCTGTTTATTGTAAATTCTGTGTATGTAGGTAGAGAGCAATGAAAAACCGGAGTCAAATTCCTTGTATGCCTAAGCGTACATGGCCAATAAAGCTGATTGTGATTCTGATTTAATTTAGATGCGGCATATAACATGTTTAAGACATATTCCAGTACAGCATAGGCTTTTTTATAACTTTTTATTCACAATTTACAAGTAAATGTGTTAATTTTCTAAAGAATTAGAAAAGCCCCCCACAACACAGACACTGGCATTTAGGGAATGCTGGTGTTTACAAAAACAAGATGTGACACTCTATCATTTAAACACAGATGGTCTTACTAGTTTATTTCACAGCCACTACGTTGCGTTGTGCTCTAAACATCCACAAATATTGACTGCCCGACAGGATGAGCAGATATTACATTCAGGGTGTATCCACACACTGAGACTGTTGACAGACGGGTGTCTTTATCCATTGATGTTTGAACCTGGCTGTCATTAGCAGCCTGTCACTGAGCTGTAGTCACTGAAGTCCCTCCTCTTTTTGTTATTTCCCCCAAACTACTCAATGCTGTTCTCACCCTCATTTCCCTCTTGTCTCCTTGGTGGATTGCCTGTCTGGAAAACTGTCTTCTAATACAAGCAGAAAGACAACTTGACTTTCAGGTGAAAAAAACGTTTTGCTTTTAGTTGATGTTTGGTTGTAAGGAGAAACTGTACACTCTTGGGCTTTGGTAGCTCCAGGTGGAGAGCAACTGAAATATTTTTGGTCTGAACCAGCAATCAGCAGTGAATTTTTTTTTTAGATTTTATCTATGTCAGCTCTTTCTTTTCCCACAGCCAACTGACACAACATACATCTAGGTGCAACTGTTTAACTGCATTCACCTATGCAACTTACATGCTGGCTTTACACTGCTCTACAGCATCTTCATCCGATCTTCAGAGCAACAGTCCTCACCATGTCCAACCAGCTCAAGGAAAATACCCATGAAGGGGCCTATATGTCCCTGATGAGAGGCTTTAGGGAGCTGGACCTCCGTGGCCCCTGTGTTCCCAGTGACCTGGTGCTGATTGGAGACCACGCTTTTCCTTTAGCAATGAACAGCAAAGGCCAGTCCCTGATGGCAGCCTCTCAGTACGGCCGTGGGAGGATTGTGGTCCTGGGTCATGAGGGCTACCTGACCGCC